AGACGGATTTGCACAGTGGTAACAGCAACGGGCTCACACATAGCAAGGATTGTGTGGTTGGCGCAGGACCGGGAGATTCTGTTGTGCATAAGATCACTATGAGTTGGTACCGACTGGATGGCACCTAACAACAACAAGAGCATGTCTTCAGTATTATTTCCTTCGTATTTTTCTTTAATGGTCTTACCATAGGATGCTCTGTAAAACTCACTGTGATGATCCCATTTGGTGACAAAATGGAAAGATCACTGGGCTCCGAGTACAATAAACATAGTTCAATCACTATCTAGCTCTGCCATGGGGTGGCCAAGCTCCTTTAACACCTCTGAGCCTCAGGTGCCTTGTCTATAAAACAGTGTCTTCAACTTGGAATGGGTCCTGTGATGATCAAATTAACAAACCAATATAAAAGTGCCTTGCTAGTTCTACACTGCTGCGCAGACGTAAGACAGGTATAGCTGAAGCAGCGTGTGCTCAGGAAGGCAAAACCCAAGATGCGAACCCAAATTGCTGCTCTCGGCTAGTTCACCCCTGCCTGAGGCCCAGGTACAGGAATAATGACAGAGAAATGCTCTAGACCGTGGAGAAGGACAAACAACAAGGGGCTAATGAATAGCATCACTTACGTTATCTGGATTTTGGAGAACTCAGGGACTTCATCCTTTTTCTTTCTAAACAGGAACCAGTAGGTGAGGAGACCCACAATGAGTGAAAAGAGAACCATGTCTGTCATGCTGAAAAGAGACACTTCTTCAGTCACTGCCTCAGACATAGTGGCACTGGTATCTACGTTGGAGTCCCCCATGGTGATCATCAAACTGTCAAGAGAGAGAAACAACATCATCACGGAGGAGCAGGGTCAGTGAGGCCTGCTGGGGAATTCACTGGGAAGTTTCAGTCTGGGCATGGTGCCCACGTGCTGCAGAAAACAGACCAAGCACTGTGGGCAGAAGGGATGAGAGTGCTTGGCGAAGTCCAGCCAAGAGTTAGCTGCAAGCTTGGATTGGAGCTCAAGTAGCAAAGGGCTCCGGTAGGGTCAGCTCCAGCCCAGCCTGTACACCTTGGACACAGCCTAAAGCTAAGGCCGGAGCTAGGACTGGATCCACTGCAAGTGACGGAATGCAAGCCCCCAACTTCTGACACCATCAAACACCCCCCAACCCATGCGGGCACAGCCAAGAAGTTAGTTACGTATGAGAGAGGGCGCTACCTAACCACAAACCCTTTTCGCAACTGTGCCAGTGAAGGGTTAACTTAGCAGGCCTGGGTTGCCTCCAAGCCTGACTATCCCATAGTCTTCAGGACTGATCCCTGGAATACAGTGCCTGCTAAGAGTATTTCTGTATCTCTGAGACCTTGGGCCATGAAGGATAACTTGTGCTAACAATGTGATTTATGATGAAAGTTTGTTTTTGTTTGTCTGGGATCCTGGGTCACGCTGTGTCCATTTGACCTCTGAGGGGCTGGAGATTGAGCAACTAAGACCAGTCACGTGAGTGCTCCATCATACCATGGGACCAACCCCAATGAAAACCCTGGACAACAATGCTTGGGTGAGTCTCCTTGGTTGGCAACACTTTGTACACATTGCTGGAGTCCTGGTGTGGTGTTGTAAGATAAGCACTGGATTGCTAACTGCAAGGTCGACAGTTCAAACCCACCAGTCACTGCTTGGAAACCCTATACAGGATTCCTATGAGTTGGAATTGACTCAACAATGTTTAATACCTAAGGTGCCTTGGTAGCACAGTGAGTTAAGTGCTGTGCTGCTAATCTCCAGGTCTATGGTTCAAACTTAGCTGCCTGCTCCTGGAGAGATCTGCTGTCTCAGAAAACCTAAGGAGAAAGTGTTACTCTGTCTACAGGGTCACCCCGAGTGAGAACGCACTCAATGGCAGTGGGTTTGGTTTTGGAGGGGTACAAGGAGCTCTGGTAGCGTTGTTGTTGTTAAGTGCCATCGAGTCGGTTCGAACCATAGCAACCTGTATAGGGTTTCCGAGGAGCAGGTGGTGAGCTTGAACCACCAATCTTGCAGTTCAAACGGCCTTGCAGTCTGGCACATTAACCCACAGCGCCACACCAGGGCTCCTCTGGTAGCATAGTGGTTACGAATTGGGCTGCTAACCTCAGGGTCAGCAGTTCGAAACTACCAGCTGTTCTGTGACAGAAAGATGAGGCTTTTTATTCCTGTAAAGATTTACAGCCTCAGAAACCCTGCACAGGGTCGCTATGAGTCTGAACCGACTCCACGGCACATCACAACAACAGCTTACAGAGGACAACTACAAGTCATGCCTAGCTCCTCCGAGAATCAACCCTACACACCAGTTTCCTTTGCTGATTTTAATCTGTATCTTTTACTATAATTAACCATACCTGTGATTGTTACGTTTTCCTGAGTTCTGTGAGTCTTCCTAGCGTGTTACAGAACTTGAAGGTGGTTTTGGGGAATCCCCAACACACCAACCTCGTTCCCTTGAAGGTCCTTCCACTACTGAAACCGAGCAGGTAGGCAGATCTGAGATGAGTCAACAAAAGCCAGGGTGAGAGTACCTGAAATTTCAGCAGCTTACTTCCGCCACTCACCAGCAAGGCTGGGTTCATCTCGGGAGTCTGAATCATCCCATTCTGTAATCAGTGCTATTACCACAATCAGTGAAAAATGCCTTAGTCATAGCTCAGTAACTTACACAACGAGGCACTGTTACATACGCCTTCCTTTAGCTGCCACTTCCTTCAGGGAGCCACAGGGCTGGCCCTGAGCTGCCAGGGCACCCTAATATTCAAGGGCTCTAAGCATCAGTCCTCCCTTCTGTAACTACTCATGACAGGCCCTCAGGGTTGGTTCTGGGGCTCCCTTTCTCATTAACTGGTGATGTTCTTCTAATGGCTGAGATGCTGTGATACTCCCCACGATCCTGCTTTATAGCCAACATTTCAGAACAAATTTAACTTCCATGTCCACAGAGAGTACTATTTATATTTAAGGACTAGCTTAGGGACACATGATGGTCATGCCCTTCCATCCAACTCTATCAGAGTTGTCTGCCAAACCCACACACCTCTGTCAAACTCTCACAAAACCAGGGGCAGAGAAGCCCTTGGGACCTGCTTTGATGGCTCCTGGAAGGGCCTGTCCCCCAGAGCCATGACAGATCAGTCATTTCAAGCCTGACAGGACTCGGCTAGGTGTTCTTGTCAGGACTAAGGTGCCGATGTTGGACCTTCCAGTGCCAGAAGCCCACTGCAGAGCAAGCAGCTCCCTTGTCCTCCCCCCAAGGCCCCTTATTTTTATTATTATTATTTTTTTAATGGAAACTGCTTAATAAAAGTTGCAGAATTTGAGGTAAAAGACCCAAGTCTAGACTGAATTAAATCTAAGTCTGCCATTGGAAAAGGGGTATGGACTCAGACAATTCCTTCTGCGCCAGCCACTTCCCACAAGGGTGCTATTCACATACGGAGGGAAAGTGGTGGCGGCAGAAGAAGAAGAGGATGGTAAGGAGAGTTCCTGGGGACCTGGAGAAGGTGAAAGAGGGACCAAAGTGGGGGGTGGAGGTGCACTTGGGGCTCTTTGATAGGGAGGGGGTTCATCAGCTGAGTCAAATTGGCTGATGGAGTTGAGAGAACAAGCAAATGGAACTCTTTGATAGGGAGAAGGTTCCAGCTGGGTCAAATTGATAGGGAGAAGGTTCCAGCTGGGTCAAATTGGCTGGAACAAAGAAAAAGTCAAAGGTAGGAAAAGCCCTAGATATAAGGGGTCTCTGACCATTTCCCCTGGTGCTCACAAAGTTAATTCCTGCCGGTGATGGATGCTGAGAAGGCGTCGGGGAAGATGATCACGGGCGCTGGGAGGGTGCGTTGAAATAAGCGGGTTAGGGTGCCAGGAGAATTAGGGTTCTGGGCCTTCCGATGTTAAATCGGGGGCCTCAATCGTCCCGCTTCTGACACCAATGAAAGGACCCGGCACTGCTCATCAACCACACCTCACACCAGATGGCCCATCTAGAGACGTTTATTCAGGGTGAGGAAGGTAACCTCTGCCGGAGAGAGAAGGCAGGAGGCAGAAGGGAAGAGAGGAAGAGGAAGAAGAAGAGCAGAGAGAAAAGAGGGCAGAAATAAGAGGAAGAGGAGAAGAGCGGCCCCTTATTTTAAGGAGGGGAAATGAGTGCCCACAAGGCTAACGGTGACTTCCAGGCAGGTATGCAGGTTTACTGCACAGCCCAGAAGAAAAAGTTCCTTCTCTCCAGATGATTTCTAAAGTCATGCTTTGGTGGACACCAAGAAAAACGGTCACGTCTGCAATCACACGTGCATATCCTATTTAATAATGTTTGATTCAAGCCACCCAGGCCACTGCAATAGTCTCCACACTGGTGCTAAAGGGATCCTCCAATCTATCAAGCCATTCTCCTAATCAACAACCTCAAATGGCTTCACATCAGATAAAGCCAAAGAGCTAAAGTCCTTACACAACCTATGAAGCCCTGTAGGACTCGGCTCCTGGACACCTCGGCAGTCACACTGGACCTCCTGGCTACTCCTCAAGCCTGCCAGGCCCACTGCTGCCTCAAGGTGTTTGCATGTGTTGAGTCTGTTCAGACTCTGCCTAGAGTTAGCTGCAATGTCGGGTCCCTGCTCAAATGTCACCATCTCAGGGAAACTTTTCCCGAGCAATGTATCTAAAATGGTACATGTGGCCACTGTCCGTCCCCTTGTCCATTCACAGCATTGTATGTGACATCACATTACACAGGTTTCCCCCATGGATATCTTCTTGACTTGAGGGTCCATCCCACAAGGTCAGAGACTTTTACTTTGTTCAAAGTTGCGCCCCCAACATTGCCTGGCATACAATGAGCACCTCGTATCAATTTGTTGAATAAATGATCACAAGAACAAAAAACAAGAATTCCTCCGAGTACCATGGCTGGCAACAAATGGCATACAGGTTACAAAATGGTTTTATAATCTAAAACCCACAATACAGATACATCATTACAGCACAGTTTGTCAGGATGGCTATGTGCACATGTTTCTTTCCCACTTGTTTTGCATCGACAGTCAGGACACCACAGATTCTTACACCACTGAGGAAACTAACAAGCAACAAGAAGGAATTAGCAGGAAGTCCCCAATGTACATACAAATGCCTCCCTGCAGCAAAGGAAGTATGGGGCACAGGCCCCAGGTCCTACCAACACATTAGACACTCCCCCTGGTCATCAGACCTGCGGTCTCAACAGAACCGGGAATGTTCCAGTAGCTTTGACTCAGAAACATCAAACAACTTCTTCTGACAGACACAGATTGTGGAAACAACCCTGGAGAACATTGTATCCAGGCTCTGCACCTACGGATGGAAGGAAGATCTGAGGCCCCAAGGGAGTAAGTAGCTTGTCTAAGGGAACAGTCAATGAGCTGCCAAACGAGAAAGGGAGGCTGGGTCTCCTTGAGGCCCGGCCTCCCCCAGCAGGGTCATGCTCACCACCCATGGAATGAGGAAGAGTTAGTTGTTCACGGGCCTCCCCTCTGCTTAGCTGTGAGCTTCTAGAGAAGAACAGCATCTCATTAATCGAATTGTTTCATACCTACGAATCAGCACAAAGCGGATTCCTACGAGGCCCAGGTCAGATCCCCAATTTCTCCAAGATGCTGTGCCAGTCCATCTCCAACACCAGCCACTCACTCCCCATGGTCAGCACTCTCCTCTCTGCCAGTCGGGTTTGGCAGTTTGCTGAGTCTCACAGAACTCACGAGCTGTACTTATAGTTAAGTGGTTGATTAAGGAAATAATAGGTTGCAGCTTAGAATCAGGA